GGGCTGGCACTCCTCCCGGACTTCATAGCAAATGGGCGCCAAAATCCAGCTCCGGAAAGCAAAAGCAACTTCAGAACCTGACACCGAACCGCGACGTAGCAACAACAATCCGGACTTCGCCTGCCATAGAAGAAAGCTGATGTGAAAGACGATGGCCTGTGATGCAACACCTCCGTACGTCAGACAAGCAGGCTGAGTGCTGTCGGGCACCTGCTGATTTCAAGCGATCTGCACGTTTGGCATGATACCAACAGGAGGACACGATGCAGGCAAGATCAGACATACCGGGTAACAAAATGCTTGGGGCTCTCGCATGAGCTTGCGTGGTCAGAGGACCTGGGCACTTTAATGCTTTAGGGAAAAAGCCCCAGGGTGTTGGTTGATATCCATGTAGCTTTGTATGGAGTTCCTTGCATCCTGACACCTGTAGGAAAAATGCCTGGGTTAACCAAGGAAACCTAGACAGTGAGACTGGTCTAGGAATAAGCTGAAGCGCTGCGCGCAGCAGGCAGAGCGGTTATGAAGACATACCGCCAGGGGCAAAGAACATCAACGGCTACGGTTGCAAACCACTTCAAAGTCACCAAGCGTGACACGCAGAAAGATAATGTGTAGAGCAAGCGAACGGGCATTCCTGCCTGAGCCACTTGACCGAGGACCGCCTGAGTTTGGCATGTTGTGTTTTCCTAAGTGGGAGAAAAGCCTGAGGCCCGAGCGGATCATCTGCTGCGCGCTTGTGCTTTGAAGATGAGAAGGATGCAAAATGGCACGATGTCGTGGTGTGAGTCCATGCGACATTTGCAATTATGCAGACGGCTGGCCATGAGCTCCTGCACACTGAGATACAGTGCCGCACGTAGAAAGGCGATGAAAGCGAAGAAGGAGAAACCAAATGAAGAAGAGACAATAGAGACGGGGTCCATCCTGGGACTGAGCACAAACATAAAATCATCTGTGGTAGCCAGATTGTAAAGACACGTTCCAGGTATACCATGCCGCGGGCTTAGCGGGGCAGTGCGAAGCTGGACGAATTTTGCCCGATTTGATGTATCGACTTGTTCGTGATGTGCTGCATGCCCCTTATAGCACTCCTTACTGCACAGCATGACTCCTTGTTTGTGCTACACCTGCTACACGACGAGAACACTTTGACAAACTATGCTAGTTTGTTCAGAGCTGGGTGCCATGAAGTGCCAAGTCACAAGTCCGCAGTCCGAGGTTTGATGCTGTCTTTCTCATGATTGGCGGGAAGGAGGATCCTTGTAGTTGCAAGTAGTTGCAAATGCTGGCGCTGTGTCTTGTCTTGGCGGACAGGAAACATTGGTCTCAGTGCTCTTGAAGCTTGCGTTTCAGTGCCCAAGCCGCCATGGTGTTTGTACGTTGCCCGTGCTCCTAGTCGATGCTCTTTCCGTTACGCTTTCCCAGGTATGCAGCAAACCTGACCATCGGCTTAGTATCCTCCTTCTTTTTCTTCTTATACCACGTTTACCAGCTCCTGGTGAACTATGGAGAGGTGCGCAGAGCAAGGATGATGTGAAAAAGCATCCGCATGTCACATTTGTCAGGGTGTGGCATCTGGTCTGGCCTTCTTCCTGCTTGTGCTGGTCACGGCCGCATCATTGGCCGCGGCATCAGTCAGAAGTGGTTTGCTTTGCATGTTGAAACCTCCCTCCCTTTTCTTCCCCTTCGTGGCCTTCTATATACCCTTTCATTTCCATGTTTCCATCCTCCCTTGACGCAAGAAGCGTACAACAGTTGCTCTCAGCAATTGTTCAGTTTAAGTTTAGCTCCAGATTGGCACCTACTTGATCACCATTTACGGCGTCGTCGCGGGTGGCGGGTGCTGTCCCTGGAGGAAGCTTTACTCGGTAGCAACATTGAGTGTTCAAAGGGGTGCTGTCGACTCTTCTTGGAATGCCTTGAGAGAAGGCGTTGAACAAACAATCGTTGATACCCTTTCTGCATGAGGTTCTATGTGCTGAAGCAGGTGGCAGCCCGAGAGGCACTGCAAGGTGGCCAAGCGCGCTCTCGGCCAGGGACTCACACTGAAATTGCTGCTAGCTGGGCTTTCTGCGCGGCGCAGGCCAAGGCAAGTCCAGTGAACCCCCCCAGCTGGTTCTGTGTGCTGGACGGCAATGTGATGTTGAATGAAAATGCACCGGGCTGGAGGTACGGCGGTGGTCGTGTGGGAGGCTACCGACCCCATGTGGACTGAAGAAGGATGGCAGGTGCCTCTTGCTTCACCACCGCGTCTCACCGGAGGATTAGACCGAGATGTCCGCACAGAAGAAAGGTTCTTTGGGAGTGCAAGGAAGTTGTCCTGCCAATCTTTCCGCCTGGGGCATTGACAGCATCGCCAGCACAGTCAGTGATTCGACATTTTCTGCACGGGGGAGCACAGGTAACAAATGACAAAAGATGAGAAACGCAAGATGCGACGGGTTTCATGCAAGCACGCATACGCGCCCTTTTCCTCTCTTCCCCCTTCCAATCCATCTCTTGCTCTCGAACAAGTGCGCCCGTACTTGCACTTGTCTGCTTCTATTCTCTCTTTCACCTCCCCTGTTCACTTCTTGCATTTTGCTTCGCCTCTCCTTCCAGCTGCACCTCTTGATTGCTGGTATGAGTTTGCATCGCAAGCCATAAGCGACAAGCGACAGGAGCAAGGACAGAGTCCCTCCCGTGAATGAAACTCAACTTCAAGAGCCCATTCCCAGAGCGCTAAAATGCAAAGGAGGCAGGAAGGCTTTCCAAGTAGAACCAGGGACAGGGCCAGTGAAGAACAGCATCTCCAGCAACGTGCCAGCACGTGGCGCAGAATTGCAGAAAGTGCAGACTGTCAAGGCAGTCTTACAAAGCGACACATTCGCCGCAGTGGCTTGCACCCTGATGGAGAATTTGAGTTGAGACATCTGAGACATGGCACACTGTGTGTGGAAAGCCCTTTGCACAGAGCGATGGCTTGCATGCACAGGGCTGCAGCATCTGCAACAGATAGCAATGTGCTGACAAACAGCACAGTGCTGCATGGAATGCCTGTGATATCAATATTCAAACCACACGCTGAGCTCCTCCTTCCGGCTCGCAGAGACCCCGAGAGGGAGCCTTGCAGGCCTTGGCCTGCTGCGTGTTTCTTGGCTTATGCATGGACCTCAGCCTGTTTTTCACTCTCTTGATCAAAAAGCCCAGGCTCCTCTCAGTTTTGCGCCTCTTCGAACCGCGTCCTTTTAGCGGGCCGCATCCTGAGCCGCGTAAATTCTGCGCATGCTCGACATGCTCATTTTGACTCTTGCTCCCTCCCCTCCTTTCCTGAAACTCCTATTCCCACTCAAAGATCGGGATCTCAGGGGCGCGTGCAGCGTCTGCCTTCCGGGTCTGGACACGGTCTTAGATATTCTGAGCTTCAGGTTATCTGCCAACAAGCTGGTTTTGGCAGTGACACGTTCTTTTTGTCTTGATTTCTTTTCGGCCTGTTTCTGCTTTTTTGCTTGTGCATAAATTCATTCATGCACGTTTGGGCCTCATCAGTTCCAGCAAGGCAGAGGCCCCATTTTGGGTTGCCCCCACATCGATCAGCCGATGAGCCAGCTGCGGACCTAGTATCAGAAAGGTAGGACGTTTTCAGTCCAGTCTTCTCCCTCGTTGCCGATGTGCGGCTCACAAAGTTCATCATTCATGTCTTAGTTTCAGGCCGCTGAAGCAGATCCAGCGCACCGCCACGGTCGCATGGTGCCCGGTAGAGGCCAGTTAGATGGGGGTAGATTCAACATGCATCTATGCTTTCTGTATGCATCGCTCAGCGTTTACCTGTGGAAGCCACTGTTCGGCCAGCGGCCATTTGGCTGGTCTTTAGGTCTTTCTGGAGTGCTTTCAAACAAGTACTTCGCAACATGCTTGTGAGCGTTTCCTCTATTCGGTGTCATTCTGCGATTGATGTAGTTTAAAATTGGGGCAGTGCGTATTCTCACCGACTGTTGTCTGATGAAGATTCTGCACGTAGAGAATCACAGGGATGGAAGGGTTGATTGGAGGCTGCGCCTACGCTACTGGCCTTGGGCAGCAGCGCAAACTCTGCTGCTGGTGCGATTGGTGGAGCTTCGGCTCCTTGGCTTGTGATTCAGAGTAGGGCCGGCCATATGCGCTTAAAGCCGAAGCTACGGCAGCTACGGTCGATTCCGAGCATGAAAGCTCTTGGAATCCTCGGAGGAGCTGGCCAGGGATCCCACAGCATTTGTCCAAATCGTAAGCACTGCCCAGAGAGTACCATGGCAGACTGGACCGGGGTCCCTGCAGACCTGCTAGCCGATCAAGTGCCGCGAGTCGATGTAGGGTGTGAGACGCCACGCTCATGCTCGCGTGCGCAGATGTGGAACTGCACGAGCAGCACTTCGTGGTGTTAGCTACCCGCGGTTATGTCAACGGTCAACTGCAGAACTGCAAGCTGGAGAGGGACTTGAAGACCTTGAGAGGCTTCGGCTACCGGCTACCGCAGCATCTGCAGCAATCAGTCCAAATGTTAGATTCAACAAGATTCAGCAGACCAGCGGGAGAGAGTAGGGAAGGTTTGCGCCCGTCGCCGGCCGTGTGGTAAATAAAAGCGATCAGGTTCAGCTGTGGAAAGCACGGGAAACTTGATGGTCGTCTAGTGAGGGAGCTTGGGTACAATGTCATAGCATGATGCAGTTTTCAAGGGATGGTATCGCATGCAGAGTAAGCTTGCAGCGGGCGAGAGCCGTCAGAGTGCACACTGTTGCGGCCGGCTATAAGTCTAGGTGGTGTGGCGTACGGCCGGCTGTAAGTATACGTGGTGTGGCATACGGAGTCACATTCTGCAAGGGGTCGGATGCGACGCTGGAGTTTGCTTCCTTCGATGCTGGCAGGACCAGACAAGCCATCCCTTGTTCCCATGCACTGATTGACACCGCTGGGACTCCCAAATCACGCCAATCACGCCACTTGCATTCCCCGCGGATTTAATTTGCCGTAGGAGTGGCGCAGACATGGATGTGCAAGCATCGATCAGGACCGAAGGCTGTGCTAGACTTGGTGTCTTGCTGTGAACCGGGGCTCAACATGAGGAAAGGGAAGACAAGGCACGTTGCTTGAAGGCGGTCGACGATTCTCCACAATTTCATGGGGCAAGCTCGGCACTGATACTGGCATGCCTGGAGCCTGGGAATGCAGCAGCTGCCACGCCAACTAATTTCTTTGCTCATCAGCTTCTCTTTGCTGGAGTAATCCGAAACTGGCATTGCACCCCAGCTTGCATCCAGCGGTGGCCGTGTGCGCAGCACAGAGCTAGCTAGTGCCCGCAGAGCTTGATCGAGCTCATTCTGTGAACATTCGGTGGCGTTCACAGATATGTCAAGTGCAAGGGTAGGAATAATTGGGCTCTTTGCTGTAGCTTGCCGGGCAATAGTAGCTTTCTGCGAAGGTTTCCCTACGGCCTTTTAGCAGGGGGCCTCCAGGATGGCGTCCAGGGCTCAGGCAACGTGAGGCTGAAGCAACGAAGTCGTTGGGCAGCTGGAAGGTTTTCCTTGCAGAGCTTGAGAGGTGGTTTCTCTTTGGAATCCGCACGCCATCCTGTCCTCCAACGGTACAGACCAAGGTCCGAAGAATCACATTGCATTGGAGAATATACTTGCTGTGCCAGATTTGACGTACTGTTCTTGTTGATCAGAGAATTATTCAAAGTGCAGCATCTCCACTCCACCCTTAGTTTCTCGCAGCAGAATGGTTGGGCAGCATAATGGTTTGGCAGGTGTCATTTGCTGTAGCATGCAGTCCAAATGCGGTGCTGGGCATGGGCATGTCTTCAAGGCTGGTCAGGTCAAACCTTTTGGCGGGAATCCGAGTGGGTTGCAGAAAGTCGGACAATATATAGAAGGCCGCCTCGTGGATTTCAGTCAATTATTCATCGACCCGCAATCCGCAAGAAGCAAGCCAAATTTGTTTATAAAAGGCTCGGAACCACAGAAGGTGAGCCTTCGCGAGAAGCAACAAGCCATGCCAACCAGACCACGCAAGATCACGCAAGTCTTTTCATGTTCACCTGACCCCCCAACTCGTTTTGCAATTTTAGTCTACCGAGGCAGAGGGGGAGTGGCATTCATGAAGCAGGGGGGTTGAGGATAGGACTAAGTAGCTTATAGGTCGTAATACGAGTAAAAAAAGTAAAAGAAGTAAAAGAAGATCTGTTTAAATCGAATATTCTCGTGATTCTCGGGCGTCGAGATTTAGTATTGCCACCCCCATCATTGCTGCCTATCAACTTGTCTCAAAGCAACCGTAATCTTCCGGATTTTGTTGGCCCGGCGGGAATGTTTTATTGCCACCCTCTTTACTAGGCTCGACTGTTCTCTGCGGCCATGGCCTCGTTTGTTCAAGTTGTGCCTGAATGGGCTAGCTATCTGCAGAAAGATGTCTGCTCCGATCAATCCGGGCGCAAGGGACTTTGATATTGGTGATATCTTGACTGCAGAGAGTGGCCACTGCATGGGGACTCATGTTCTGAAATTGCATTAATCCTCGAGAAAGCTGTAGGTCAGGCAGAAGGTTTAGACACAAGTGGCCAGGCTTAATCCACTCACAGACCGTGCACAAGGGAAACGTGCACTGTGTGGAGCGGCAACCTCAGCACATAAACAAAGAAGCGAATCAGTGCAACTTTCGACTGTATCAGCTGGAAAGCGTGCGTACCTTCATGCTTCAAAGGTTTCACCCTCTCAAGACCAACCTCATGGCCACTTGCGGTTCAGACTCCGAGGCTGCTTTCGTTGTGTTCCGCAATTTCAGACCAGATACCAGCGAGCAAATGTGATCGTTGTATTTTGTCGATATCCGGAATGTGCACAGCGACAGACAGAGAGAGAGAGAGAGAGACAGAGAGAGACTGGGCGGAGAAGCCCGGGGGCAGGTTCTCCCTGCTCCCATAGCCCGATCGAAAGAAAGAAAGAAAGACAGAGAGAGACATGACCATCTAACAAGGCAACACCCACATATAAGCACCGAGCGTTGAACCTCAACAAGCCACTGGGCAACAAAAGTCTCCTCGAAACAAGAAAAGAAAAGAGTGAAGAGCTGACGGGGACAGCAGCCCAAATCACAGTTAAGCGGTTTTTCAATAGTTACCCCCGAGGCAACGCAAAGGTGCAGTTTCACCGAAACCGGGTGCGGAATTATGCAAGCTCCATACCACAGAGTCCTTTTGCTAACTTAGCTTCTGTTGAAGACTGTCGTTGTAATGTATGTGGAGCTAGCATAGGCTTTCCAGGCAACGCCCGAGGGAGTCAGAGGGGTGGAACAAACTGAGTAGCCCAACACGGGCTGGGCAGTGACGCCCGGGGGGGGGGCCCTGGAGCCCTTCCCCATAGCCTGAACGAAAGAAAGACAGACAGAGAGAAAGAAAGAAAGACAGAGAGAGAGAGAGAGAGTAGTAACAAGTGAAATGTGACTAGGTAGCAGGTGCAAGATTCAGCTGAGCGGGACGGTATGTTGAGCTGTAGACATGCAATCCGCGCCAACAGGCATGACAGGACAGTCGCACATTTTCCATGTCCAAGGGAAAGGCAAGTAGTTGATTGCGTTGAAGCAGGATAGGTAAGGAATGCTCGTTGTGGGGTATTGTGGGATCAGCCAGCCTGCCTTGGAAAGTCGCAGAGCTAGCACAAGGAGCGGGGAGTAAAGAACTTTTTTCACTTTGAGCATGCTAGCGTGTTTTGTGTTTCGGGATGAATCGCTCGAAATGCTGCCATGAGTGCAGTGTATCGGGGAACACCGTGAGGCTCCTGAAGTGCTGGAAGACTAAAGGGAACTTTCACAACCCAGTTGAGAAGGGAGAACGGTCCATTGGGAATGGAAGAGGGAAAGCATGGTATGCACATTTATGTTTGGGGAATCCTGTGCCCTGTTCCATTCAGAACGGCCGAGACTCCGGGCCTCCTGGCTAGATTGAGACTATGGACAGCGCGCGGGCTTGGGGTTCGCCCAGCAGGGCTCGAGGGTCCTGCATAGCCCATAGAAGAAGAAGAGAGTAGTTTCCCGTTGAAATCTACTTTACATTCGCACCTTCTGTTTCCACACCGAGCCCTACAAGTTTCACCGTGGTCATCCCTGCCAATCACCAACTCCTCACTAAGTTCCTCTAAGCTCCCCGAAGCTAATAATCCAGGCCCCCAAAGGGCCAAGAGGGGTGATTTTCACACTGATCTGGTAGCCCAACATGGGCATGGGTAAAAACCCTCTTGTCAGAAT